AACCTAGATTGTCAAAATAAAAAAGGTCTAACACAAAAGACACCGAGGTGTTCTTAAACCCAGATTGGTAAAATACAAAAGGTCTAACACAAGAGACACCTAGGGGTTCTTAAACCCAGATTGGTAAAATTACAAAAGGTCTAACTCAAGAAACGCCTAGGTGTTCTTAAAGCCAGATTGGTAAAATAAAAAAAGGTCTAACACAAGAGACACCTAGATGACCTTAAACCCAGATTGGTAAAATACAAAAAAAAATAATAATAGTTCTCTTACATGTTAAATACTTCTGGAGTCGGAAGAAAATTCAGTGTGTGCGTCTGGATTTTTTTTGGAAAGTTATTCAGGTCTTCTAATGAATTTATCATGTCTATTCACTCACAAGCCACTAAAAATGTAAATTTTACTTACTTTTATTTTAAATCGAGAGGGAAGAGTTATTTATTGTCTTCACAACCTGTCAAAAACGAATATTCCATTCTGGAATTTCTGTGGCATATAGCCGTTCCTAAATTTTCAGTTAATATACTAGAGATAAAACAAACTAGTCAATAGCATCCACTGCAAGCTCTTGAGTTATTCTTGTCTAATCAAATATTGGGATTTTTTCCCGTCACGCTTAAAGCGCATCCAAAGTACGGGTGGATTTTTTGCGGCAGTAAGCCACGAACCCTCTATGTGAAGGTTTGTTTGTTTTAGAACAAAGCCACATTGAAACACCTGTTGTGTCCACCGCAGGGAATCAAACCCCCGATTTTAACCTTCCTTACGGCTGTCCCACCGGGGTCACTACGTGAAAGAATTTTTTTCCTTTGATTTGTTTTCCCTCATCACTCTAAAGAACAAACCAATATAAAGCTGATTACGAAAACATGATTTTCACAATTTAAATGTTAAGTTATGATACAGATCTTAATAGCTCCTCGACTGTTTTAAACTGTTCATATTTATCAGTAGTTTTATAGTGCGAAACTGATGTTCGGCTTTATTCCGGAATGAGAAGACTGACTAAATATATTGTACTTCATGATTCAGTAATTCATGGAATTGAGTAATTCACATGGGTCCTTCAAATTAGACAAGATTAATTATATTTCCACTGTCATGCACAAATACAACTTCACAAAAAAAAAAAGAAAGCATATGGAACAAGACTCGGGACTGCCTTCTAACAGAATTTACATCACATTTGGTAATGGTTTACGAGGTACTTTTGTCAGACACTGGGTAATGTGTAAAAAGAAACTAAATTCAGAGGCTAGTTTCGCCATGCGGTTCTTTGACCATGTGAACTATCAAACGCGCTTCCTCCCTGGGCTAGTTTATAATGACGGTTTACAGGTCTTCTGTCGCTATACACCACAAGGCTTGTTTGACTTACAATATGTTTACAGGTCTTCTGTTAGTACACAGCAGGCTTGTTTGACTTACGATATGTTTACAGGTCTTCTGTTAGTACACAGCAGGCTTGTTTGACTTACGATATGTTTACAGGTCTTCTGTTAGTACACAGCAGGCTTGTTTGACTTACGATATGTTTACAGGTCTTCTCTTAATACACAGCAGGCTTGTATGCGTACGATATGTTTAAATGTCTTATGTCTGTATACACTACAACCTTGTTTGACTTACGATATGTTTAAATGTCTTATGTCGGTATACACCACAGCCTTGTTTGACTTATGATATGTTTAAATGTCTTATGTCGGTATACAGCACAGCCTTGTTTGACTTACGGTATGTTTCAATGTCTTATGTCGGTATACACCACAGCCTTGGTTGACTTACGATATGTTTAAATGTCTTATGACGGTGTACACCACAGCCTTGTTTGACTTATGATATGTTTAAATGTCTTATGTCGGTATACAGCACAGCCTTGTTTGACTTACGATATGTTTCAATGTCTTATGTCGGTATACACCACAGCCTTGTTTGACTTACAATAGATTTAAATGTCTTTTGTCGGTACACACAACAAGCGTCTTTGACTAACAACGTTTTAAAATGTCTTCTGCCAGTACACACCACAGGCTTGTTTGACTTGCAAAGTTTTACGTGTTTTCTGTCGATACATATAACAAGCTTGTTTGAATAACAATTTGTTTACAAGTCTTCTTTCGTTACACACAACAAGCGTGTTTAAATAACAGTTTGTTTACAAGTCTTCTTTCGTTACACACAACAAGCGTGTTTAAATAACAGTTTGTTTACAAGTCTTCTTTCGTTACACACAACAAGCGTGTTTAAATAACAGTTT